TCCAACGAGAGTGGTGTTAGTCGACATTTGGTGTACCGGACCAACGTACACAATCAACCTTACTAGACCACAGATAGCTATCTACTAACTAAGAATTTAAAAGCAAAGAATAGTCCACAAAAATTCATATCTTTATAGAAAACGTTTCGGAGACCAGCTCCATCGTCAGTTCGTGGAATCTAGAATCACAAATCAGAAGTCACAAATTAATACATTGAAACCATAGGACGAATTCAATTTCTTTAATTAATTATTTTAGATTTTTAATTTTATTTAAAATTGTAATTTAATTTAAATTCTTAGTTAATTTGCGATTTAAGCATACAAGTGATATAAATTCTTTTATTTAATAGCTATCTACTTTCTACTAAGCGCTGCGCTTGTGTTGCATGAGGCATGGCCCCTGTCAATCGCTAGCTCGTCAATCGGTCAAGAAGCGGCTGCAAAGCGCCTCTCTAGTCAAGTCTAGTCTAGTCAAGTCTAGTCTAGTCTAGTCAAGAAAAGTACAAGAATCGGCGACAGGCCTATCCAGGCCTATTTACTTCATGCCGAAGATACTATACTATACTAAACTATTTCCAGGAAAGGAAATGACACCTATGGCTTTAGGCACTTAATCACACAGGCTAATATGCCCTCTAGGTGTTGCTTAAAGTTGGTGTGGGGAGATGACTCAGTTACCTACAGCTTCTTGGGTGTGAGCTGAGTTTAGTTATTACATTATAGGGTAGGCGTTGGCGCCAGGGCTTATTTACGAGCTAAATTTGTAGTGTAGGGCTGCGCTCCCTCTGGGAAGCTGCATCAATCATTCTTGTGGAGAAGTCAGCTATTGCTCATCTACTGCTGCTGGGGTTGTCAAGGTTTTTGAACAAATACATGATGAGATACTTTTTAGCCCATCAGGGCTAAGCTTCCCTCTGGAGACTGGAGCATAGTCCAAGTGGGAAATGATCACTACCCACATCCGGCAGTCTGCTAATAATGAGACAGGGGGCAACATCAGCTCAGAGGTGGCCAGTGCCAGGTCCAGGCAGCCTGGTCTCCCGGTGCAACGACCTATGTATGTGTATACAGTAGATCTATTTGGTTGATCATGATCAGCGGCTCCAACAGCAGCAGGTCCTCAAGAGCTCATCCAGTAGCATCTGATTCGTTTATTCTTGTAGACAAAATGGGTGAGTGGACATTAAAGTCTCCTATCACCAGATGAGGTTTGGTTAGCTGCTGGATGTAGTGAGTAAATTCCTGATGAATTACTGAGCCATTGGGATTGTATATATTCAAAATAGACACCGTAGTTGCATTCAGGAGCGTCAGGCTTATTGCCTATGCCTCCAGCACTCCCATTGCATGAGGGAGCAGATTTAGGCGCCTAAAGCACAGTGAGCTAAGCACTAGCATACAAAGACCCCCACCTCTACCATTCCTGTTGCACCAATAGGGAGTATAACCCATAAAGGTAGACAAGTACCTGTCTTTTGCCCATGTCCCAGTGAGGCACAAAACACCGTGCGTGATGCTGTCGGTTCAAAATGTGTATACAGCATCAGCTTGATTTCTGCTATATGAGTATATAAACTATTACAATTTAGTAAAATGGTGGAGAACGGTGATAAAGGTGGGGCCATTTATTATTGTGCAAGTTGGGAAGTGCGAGGGTGTTGCCGAGTTGACATCCTCGATTCACCTGCTGCTATGGATGATAAGGCTTGGCGATCTTGAGGGCTTTTCTGTTTACTAACTACTGTTTTATATTTTTCCCTTTTCCAGTAGAGACTTTTAGCCAGCTTTCCCTCTGCAAGTGGTTTGGAGGTGCTATCAAGTCTGTATTCGAAGAATCTGTGGACTGTATCAGTTCAAAATCATGCACACCCAGGACATCAGCAAGATCATCACCAGAGCATACAGCCCCTGCACCGGGAGAGGCTGGTTAAGTTAAGACTTCACTGTCCATGGCTTCACCATGCGCCGGAGGGCATCGCAGAGTCTTGGTCACTAATTCAGACGGCAGACTGAAATGTTTTACAAGAGCACCAGCAATGATGGATCTTCTTTTATTTTCTGATTCTAGAAAAAGATTTAAAGAGAACAAATCGTTGCGTACACCGCTGAGCAGAGCTGGCAGCTCTACTTTGAATGTAGCGGCCGCTACCGCTACTTGCTCTAAATGTAGCGGGCGCTACCGCTACACCCACTAGATTGTAGCGGGCGCTACCGCTACAGTAAAATGTAGCGCCGCTAAAATACTAAGGCTAGTACAATATACTTGTACTAGCCTTAGTAGGTGAGCCGATTGATAAACACAGTCACTGATGGCTCCTCGTCCTCTGACAATTGCGGTTCTGCATCTTCATGCTCCAATACTACTTCATCATCTTTATCCCTGGACGCACAACCGGCCTTAGTAATATATTTATCCATTTTAGGTACATACGAAAACACTAATTATTTAGCATACATAGATAGTCTAGAAACCGTTTTCAAATCCAGTGGTATAACCTGGCAGTTGCCACCCTGTAAGCTCCTAACACACTGGGAAACGCACACGAACGGGGACACAAAAACACCCTGCAAGCGCTGTCAGCCAACTGAAGTTAGGTGGCTGATGCCTGATGTCCGTGATGTGGTCGTGGTCCTCGTGGACATGAGGTGGCAGCTGGCACGGAACAAGAACAAGTGGTAACTGGTAACATCTTAACAAGTAACAACTAACATGTTGACACTAGTAACAGGCTGAGGTTGACAATATTACACCGAAATCTTTCGTTTTATTCCGTAATTTATATTATGTATGTGTCATGCTGGTTTTTAAATAATATTTAATACTATAAAGTAAAATCTAAAATTCTAAAGGCTTTATCTATAAATGTAGCGGTAGCGCTGTAGCGGCAAAACCTCGTATCGCTACTTAAATATGTTGCGGGCGCTACCGCTACAAATGCTTAAATGTAGCGCCACTACCGCTACTGAAAATGTAGCGGCCGCTACATGTAGCGCGCTTCTGCCCACCTCTGCCGTTGAGGTTGTTCAGTAATGATAAAACGGGTGCAAACGGGCAAATTCAGTCCCGTAGCCCCGTTTTATTCCCTCATCGAGGGACCTCAAGGTTAGATTAAGTCAGCAACGTTATTTTTTTTACTGAAAAATAACTTGGCGAACTTAACCTAACCTACGAAGACTCTCGACTCTAAAATCGTCGTTTTATGTGTTTTTAATGACCTCTGGCCCTCGATTTGGTATTATTCCGGTATGGGCCCAGTCTGGTATTATACCAGAAATGAATGGGTCTGGTATGCACCCTTATGGTCATGCCTTCTCATGTAAAAAAATGGTCATGCCTTCTCATGTAATTAAATAATTATCGGTTACGAATTGAGGGAATAAAACGTGGCTACGGGACAGAATTCATCCGTTTGCACCCGTTTTACCGTTTTATATGAAAAGAAGATGAGGTAAAAAAAATTGAAAAAAAGTCGTCGCAACTGTACAATAAGCATGTGAAACCATGTAATAAATTTCATAATTATTGGTTACGAATTGAGGGAATAAAAACCCACGCTAACGCTCACGCACTTTTGTCCGACCAGTTTGGTACCTAAAACTGTGAGCAGTGCTTGATATCTGGCCTCAAGTCGTTTGTGGCTTGCCTTTTTGGCCTATCAGCAATGCTGTCTCCATTTAAGCACATCACTAAGCCGAGCACATCATCTTCATCACCACATCATCGAACAGGTCACGTGAGCTATGCCAAATAAATAAAACTCATTAATTAATTGTGTGTTCATTTCTCCCAACCAAATTCGTCCTGCCGATCCCTATGCTTCTGTCTGTCCCTTGGTGAATAATTCAAGTTAACTAGCTAGGCCATTCAATTTCCTGATTGGAGTTATCAACTTAATGTGGAGTGGCAAATAAAACCCCCACACCGCTACTGAAAATGTAGCGGCCGCTACTGCCGCTGAGGTTGAGTAATGATAAAACGGGTGCAAACGGGCAAATTCAGTCCCGTAGCCCCGTTTTATTCCCTCATCGAGGGATCTCAAGGTTAGGTAAAGTCAGCAAAGTTATTTTTTTATTAAAAAAATAACTTGGCGAACTTAACCTAACCTACGAAGACTCTCGACTCTAAAATCGTCGTTTTATGTGTTTTTAATGACCGGGCCCACGATTTGGTATTATTCTGGTATGGGCCCAGTCTGGTATTAAACCAGAAATGAATGGGTTTGGTATGCACACTTATGGTCATGCCTTCTCATGTAAAAATGTAAAAAAACGATGATCGCGAATGCGCAATAAGCATGTGATACCATGTATTTAATTTAATAATTATTGGTTACGAATTGAGGGAATAAAACGTGGCTATGGGACTGAATTTGCCCGTTTGCACCCGTTTTACCGTTTTATTTGCAAAGGAGATGAGGGAAAAAAAAAATAAAAAATCGTCGCGACTGCGCAATAAGCACTTGAAACCATATATTTAATTTCATAGTTATTTATTACGAATTGGGGGAATAAAACGTGGCTACGGGACAGAATTCACCCGTTTGCACCTGTTTTACCGTTTTATATGACAAGGAGATGAGGTAAAAAAATTTAAAAAAAATCGTCGCGACTGTGCAATAAGCATGTGAAACCATGTAATAAATTTCATAATTACTGGTTACGAATTGAGGAAATAAAACGTGGCTAAAGGAAGAGCAGGAATAGGGCAGGTTCAGGGCCGGGTTGGCCCACGTTGTAACCCACGCTAACGCTCACGCACTTTTGTCAACCGGTTTGGTACCTAAACAGTGAGCAGTGCTTGGTATCTGGCCTCAAGTCGTTTGTGGCTTTCCTTTTTGGCCTATCAGCAATGCTGTCTCCATTTTGGCCTAGGCCCAATCGTCACCGGCAGCTACAAAGTTGTTCAGTTGCGAGTCGGTGAAATTTTCACATTCCGTTTTTCCTAGTCCAGGGGGCCGTGCTTGAAATACTTTTTTTAATGCTTGTTCATTTAAACAGGCATGATTGAGCTGTTATATGGCTTATCTGTTATACAGAGGATTTTACATCAGACGTATTCCCAGCACAAGTGACAAATCGAAACTCCAAAATGAAGTCTGTTGTAAATTCATTCATTTTAATCCTCTGTAGGAAGATCTGACGGGACCAACGTCAGCCAGTTTTCACGACTCCGTATACTCACGTCCCAAACAAGTCAGCCTGTACCTATTTGTGGTTTAGTCCGTTGCAAAGTGTTGGTGTCAATTTGTCAAATACATTCACTTTTACCTATAAGAAGAAGAAAAACTCTTGTTTTCTTGTAACGATGTCACGAGAAACACTTATTAAGAAAACTGTTGCCCTCTATGAAAAGCTCAAAACGGAATGGTCAAAGAAATCTAGAAACTTGGATATCTGTGGAAAATATATTTCAGAAATTAAGGTAGGCCTAATTCTGTGCTGGGACTTGAATTAAAAGTCTCACTGTTAGTGTTAATGAAAAGTACACAAAAGTTGTCACTCAGCACCTATAGTATTTTCATACCTATACTATTGTGCCACACGGCCAGTCTGCCACAGTGCCACTTGTTGCTGTCAGTGAAGTGAAAACTGTCAAATTCAGTTCACAAGTTCAGTCGAACATTGTACCTAGGTTGCTAGGTAAAATGAGGCAATTTTTCTTATTTTTTACTGAAGAAATTTGTGAAAGGCCACTGAAATTTAGAACAGGTAAAATTTGACAGATTTAGGTATGGGCCTGTAGTTTATGTCCAATTTGCAGATGGCTTGTGCCCAATTTTCCACTTAGGGACTAAACGCACCATCATAGTGGCAAAGCAGCAATTTTTTTAGACTCTTCTTCAAGTTTATTTTTGAGTCCTATAAGTAAACTAGAAAGTATCTTGGATACCAGCATTTTCATAGGGTAAATGCGGTACCGTCAACCGGGGCAACTCGAGACTGGCGGGGCAACTCGGGATGCACCTCCGCATGGTGCCAATCCATAGGTTATTGAAAAGAACCTGTTCTTATGTCATTTTGAACCGATCAACACTTCTTTATGGACCGATCGTATAACACACCTTCACCGGCAAAAGCTTTCACACTTCTGAAGAAGGTGAGCTGACAGCTACAC